AAGATAAGGAGAGGGAGGGAGAGATAAACTTTGCCTAGAGTATATATTAATTTAGTATCTAGACGTATATACGTGCATACTATTGTGATATCATGTAAATGGAGATGAAAAAAAAAACAAATACATATACATACAAGGAACATACATAGGTGAGATATATACAAACACACGTATACACACGTCACGTACACGTTGCAGCTGCTATATATTATGATAATGATTTAGAAAAAAAAAATAAATAAATAAATAACAAACACGTATATAATCGCGAATCACTTCGATGGTGATACACTTTTAAGCGCGTATATCAATTCAATGAAACACAGACTTGAAAAAGCAGCTTTCTCTTATCGATGATGAACAAAAAAAACTATTAAAAATAAATATATATATATATATGTGTGTGTGTGTGTGAGTGTGTGTGTGCGTGCATGCGTGCGTGCATGTGTGTGTATGTGTGTGTGTGTGTATATATATATATTTAATCTACATACACTGAGAAAAACACTCGAGACGATAAAAGATAATAAATTAAGTGTAATAAAATAGGCAGGTTTGAAGAAAAATGAAGAAATTTTTTTTGAAGAAGAGAAAAAAATTGGGGTTAGGAGAGAGAAATAAAAGAAGTACATATATATACAAATATACATACATATATACATACTTACTTACGTACGTATTCACGAGCCTCGATGTTGAAATGAAAAATAAAAATCACGTAATGATTGTAAGTTGTAAGAAAATAAAAAGTGAAGTGTGTCTGAAGAAAAGGAATGCTCTTTTTTTTGTTTACTCTTTCGTTTCTCTTTTATTATTTTTATTTCTTTTATTTATATATATATATATATATATATATATATATATATATTTTTTTTTATGATTCCTTATCGTACTAATTTCGCTTTTTGCAATTTATTCCTGTTTTTTTATTTTCTTTTTTCAAATATTATTATCGCATTACAAATCTTATTTTTTTCCTTTCTTTCTTTTTTTGCGCTTGTCACATTATTTTACATTTGACACAATAAAAATTTATTTACATATATTATTTATATATTTCCTTTCTTTTTACTTTTTTGAATTACTTTTGGACGTCTTCGTATGTCTTCTTTTTATTACATCAAATAAAATTCTCGAACAATTTTCAATTGTTCTTTATGTACTTTTCTTTGTTTTGTCTTATTTAAAAAATATTACAAATAAAAAGATAACAAACAAAACGATATGATAAGAACGATAGATATTATGAATAAATAAATAAATAAATAAATAAATAAATAAATAAATATATAAATAAATAAATAAATAAAAAGAATAAAACAAAAGGTAAAAAGAATAAAATGACGTGTGCGAAAATAATGGTGAAATGAACGAATATATCAACTCGAAGGGAAATAAGAAATAAGAAAAAAAAAACCAACGACAACAAAATAATTGTCTATTGTAAAAATTCATATTGTAATCGTTTCGACTGCCCGAAATCTGCTTTACTTTCTTCTCTGCGAGAGGCTTTATTAATTCTCTACTGAAATTTTGAAAATGCCGTATACGAATGGCAAAATTATTTAAAGAATGTACTACTGCCTCTACAAAATATCGTAGTACTAGATTAAAAAATGTACAACTTAAAAAATGAAACAAGTACTCCTACATATATACATCTATATGTATATATATAAATATATATACATATATACATATATTTATATATATACATATACACATGTAAACGTACATACATACAACCATATCATTCGACGAGCAAGGAGGACCTTCTATCAAATGAAATAAATTAGGAGACCTGCTTCTTTTTTAATAAAAAAAAAAAAAAAAAAAAACGGAAAGGAGGAGAGGAGAGGATTCTTGATTGTATCGAGAAGGGTTGATTATCTCGAGAATTAACATTTAAAAAAAGAAAAAAAACAAAAACAAAGAATCGTCTTCTATTCGTTCCTAAGCTTCTCAAAGGTGTACCAAGAAAATACTATTATTTTGAAATGACTATTTCAACCAATTTCTTCAGGCAATCGCGTAGAATTTTTTGATAAAAAGAAAAAAAAAAAAAGAAAAAGAGAAAAAGATAGAAAAAAAATATATCGAAAAAAGATTGGTGTCAATCGATGTACAAAATTAAAAGGAGAAGCCGTTCTCTCGTACGTCGATAAAAAAAAATTTCGCTTGAACGTAGTTGCACACCTCAACAAAAAGATGAGGGAGATTTTTCCAATGCAAAAGAGAAAAAAAGAAAAAAACAAGAAAAAAAAGAAAAGAAAAGAAAAAATAGAAAAAAGAAAGGGAGAAACAAATAAAACCCATTTACATCGTTTTATTTACATATAAACGAATCGTTCTATATGTTGAAGAACAGGGACTGACAAATTGATATTAATTTCTATATTGATATAAATTCGATATAAATTATTATTAGCGGTCGTCAATTAAACCGTTAGTGGTATATAATAAATAATAAATTTAATATATACGATGTTGTATTTAAATA